TCCAACCCCTCGGGCTCAGCCCGGATTTCAGCTACAGCTACAACCCATCCGCGCCCCGGGAGTCCTTGCCGTTGGCTTGCTTGCTAAGGATAAGATGGCATCGGCAACCACCTGGTCTGCCTGTTTGCTTGGAATTTTTGTCTTATTTTTTTTATTTTTTTTTTTTTATTTTTTTTTTTTGTCACTGCGGGTTGGTTTCATTCACATGTTTCTGTTGGAGGTAGTGGCGGCGGCGGCTGTTTAACCCCCATCCACTACGAACATCTCAGGCTGTTTGTGGTTTCAGTGCATTGCGCTATGCCAAGGAGTAGATAGCATTGACTGGGGAGGTGGCTTCCGAGCTCTCGTTGCCTTCGGTCTCCTCTTTGTCCTTCTTCACCGTGTACTGGCCGATAAAGGAGCCGTCCTCGTTAAACTGCCCTTCGCCCCCCTCTCCATAGTCCACCAAGCTATCGTCACTCTCCTGCTGCTTTATCGTGCCGTCCAAGGAGGTCTGGCTGTTTGGCAGGGGTTTGTTGTCTTCATCGCTGGGTAGCAGAAGACAGACAGACACAGTAAGGGTTGAGAACGGGGCTTACAACCTTCACCCAAGGTCTGGATATTCAAAAACAAATCCAGTGTGCAAATAATAGTGACCAGAGACCACAAACGCGGGGTGCTCTGACTGCAGACAGCAAGTCCTGGTGTGTCTGGCACGTACGTGAAGGTGGGGGGACAGCCTCCGCGCCAGAGGGCACAGCTGCCTCGGCCAGCGGTGCTGTGCTGGGGATTTCTACAAGCCCAACCTTCACGCTTTTTCTTTTTAGAAAGCAATTTTTTTTTTTTTAAACCTATATTACATATGATGCTTAGATCGGTCCAACTGGATGTACGTTATAAATATCCTTTCCTTGTCATTGCTTATATTCTTTCTTTCGCTTAGCGTTTTAGCCAACCTTGGTGTAACCTGGTTTAGTGAGGTTTGTTTCCAGATTTCCTTGCAAAAAAACCACACTCGGCTGTTTAGATGGGTACATGCAATGGGGAGCACTCTCAAAGCACTGCGAGGGGGCATGTATAGGATGCCAAGTTCTGTGCAGCTTCTGAAACTCATGGGAATTTACCTTTCCGAGCTTATTTCTGAGCACTTAAGCTTGTTTGCTCAATTCTTTATCCTTTCTCTTTTTCACTAGAAAGATTAAGCCAGGTCACTGAAAAATAAATAGTCTGACCCACAGGAAAAAACCCAACCCTTTACAGAAACCCTTTTAACAAAAAAACAGGGAGAAGTTGTTTTCTCTCTGGAGGGCAAGGGCTGGTATCTCATAAATACAGCTACCATTGCGTGGAGGATGAGAGTGGATTGCTATATACAAAAATTAATCTTCATGTCAACTAGTCCTTAGTTCATGTTTGATTTTTATGTCCAGCATGCAAATTCTGTAATATTCCTAAAGGTATCACACGTGTACCTTAAACATTTGTCCTCCCACTTCCATTCCTGTCTTTTTATTGTTGTTGTTTTAGCCTGGGACTAGTCAGACTCGCTCCCCAGCATGGCACTCTACTCTCTTCCTTTATTTTCCTTAAAATCGGTAAAAGTACCGGGCTTTGATTGCAGCCCTTGATAGTCGGTGTCCACACGAAGGTGTTCGCCTCCCACCAAGGCACGAGAAACGCTTTGCTTGGGCCAGGGAGCAAAATGCTCTTCAGCTGGGGAAAGCATTAAATCTCTCTCAGGCCATTTAATTAATGGCATCAGCTCTCTACAGCGGGAGAGGAATTTGGTATCCCACAGTACAACACGCAGCTTCCTAATGTATTTCCTTACATCCGCACTTTGTGAATTAAGCGATAATACAAAACTAATATTTCAGGCCTTGTGTTAACTTGGCATCACAATAAGAAATAACTTGTTAGCTTTGAAAGCAGGTTCTTTCTGGGGGGAGGAGGGAGAGAATTGAGTCCGCAAGCAGGACTGGCAGTTAGAAAGCCCAACAAATGCCAAGTAGAGAGTGGCAAAACCCAGATCCCTTTATTTGCAATATCCTTTCCTGAGGTTTGGGGTTCAGTTAAAGCTCAATCTAGAGCCAGATTTTCCCTCTGGGGGGGTTTGCAGCACCAAACGCCCCGGCGGTGCGTTTCCCGCACCTGCCCCCTGGTTTTACCTCTCTCCAGTACTATTTATCCTGTTAGTGCATTAGGAAGGCAAAGCAGATATTCATCAGCATCTTGATGCAATATAACCCTGTTAAAATGGATTTCTATGGGGTTTGCTGATGTGTGCATTAGAGAACCAGAGCACCCAGACGAAAACCATTTGGGAAACGTTGTCCTGAGTTGCATAAATCATTGCGAAGAGGGGGAGGCTTGAGCCGGAGGGAGGATTTTCAGGGCTGAGACAAAGAGCGGGCAGAGTGTTTAGGATCTAGCGGGTTTGGGGTTTGTTGGTTTGGGTTTTTTTTGCTCATGGCCCCTGCTGCCATCCCCTGGGTGTCCGGGCATCAGGGCACTGAATGCACCAAGGGCATCGTCCCCAGGTCCAACCCTTGGCCGGTCCCGCTACACCCGGAGGGATCAACTGCTCGAGCGTGGGGCTGGGGGGGCCTGGCTGGTGCTCGGGGGTGCCCCCAGCCCCCAGAGCATTTCCAAGCAAAGTCCAGCTCGCTGGATGTGGGGGTACCCCTGATGCCAGCAGGAGTTAGAGGGATCTTGTTTAATGTGTTAGGTGGAGGCAGGTACGTGGGAATAGGGAGGGGAAGGTATAGTTTCAGCTCTAAAGAAATAAATAGCTAGAAGGAAGGAAAATAAAAAAAGCTAAATGTGCCGGACTTCTGGCAGCACATGGTCCTACCTTTCAAGAGACCTTCATGGTCCATGTGGATAGACCAGGTGAAAAGGAGAAGAAAGAATGGGAATAAAACAGAGAGAAGCAGAAAGAGCCTGATCAGAGAGAGATATGATGAGGTCTGCATTTACAGGGGCAGTGCTAAAAAACCAAAAAGAAACGTCTGCATTCCTCATGGAGCTAATTGCCTCGTTATACCAAATGGAGCCAGTATAATTGTTCAGAGCTGGATGAGCCTCATTGGCTTCCCCGGGAAAGCTGATAGAGAGCAGCAGTGGATGGTGCAGGTGGGACGCAGGCTGTTTGCCATCGGGCTGCTCAAAAAGGACTTGGGCTTCTAAGTCCCTTAGCAAGCGGCTTTGGGGAACAGCGGTGGCTGCTGGGGACCGGCGTGCAGCAGGACAAGGGCCAAGTGAACGGGTCGCTGGGTTTCCCCTCCAGCCTTCTGCTGGGTGTCCATGATACAGTCGTGCACCAGTATCATGGTATCTGTTGACAGGCTGCTTCGCCAGACCTCTCCTCCCCTCGCTAGGCTCCGAGGACAGCTCTGTGTCCTCCTGTCTTGATGTCTGCTGAGATGGGCCGTTCGGGGCAAGCTGGCACTGCCTGCCGTGTGTAACCTGTGCCACAGGACACCATCCTCAATCTGAACTGGAGCCCAGAAGCTAAAAACCACTAAAACTCTCCCTTCCCAGCAGCCAGGGTTTCCAGCCGACTCCCCCACGTGCTGCTTCAACATTTGGTATAATGAGGCACAGTCACTGGCACAGAACATTGTCCAAGGATAATGGTCTCCTGCTTTGAAAATAAGCTTCTCAGCTTAGCCTCTGCTCAGGAAAACCATTATTCTGTTAGTGGAACAGAAAGATGTGACAGTATCTCTTAATTATAGGCTGCAGAGATTTGAAAGTTGCATGCACAGGGCATTAAGGACGTGAGATATGATGAGAGCATATCAGACATGCTATGTGGAGGTGGGGAGGGAAACCAATGAAGAACTCACGTCAGCTCAATTCCTGTCCTTGCTGGAAATACTAATTGCTACCCTCCTGGAGCCTAACATCGCAATCATTTTGAATCTTAATCAGCCAACAGCGTTTCATATCAATCCTTTGGGTTCACCTTCCTTTCTGCCTCCTTGAGGGAAGCCTCCTATTAACTTTTCCCAGGAAACCTGTTGTTCCTGAGAAGGAGGGGGCAAAGTTTATGGGTTGTTGGATTTTTGTTGTTGTTGTTGTTCTTGTTTGATTGGGGTTTTTTTCCCCGTCTAGTCCATAGGACAGTGTGATTGAAAATGCAGGAGCATCTTGGAGCTTGGTTGTTGCCCTTCTACTGACCTCTGCCTTTAGCTTGCAAACTTTTGGGGATGGGGCTGTCAATAAAAGCTGGAACTTCAGCTAAGCAGAAGCTGCTGTGTAGTAGGATGAAGGATTTGCCCCATTCCTTCCCATTGCCTGGAAGGCAATGCCCCTTGGATGGTGCTTGAGCAGTGAAGGCAGCATTGCTGACTGCTGCAATCCTGCCAGCCATGCCAAGAGCTTAGTTTTCCTTCTGTGCAGGGCAAGCGGCCCCTGGCAATGCGATCGCCTTAGGAGCGATGGGGGTGAGGAGGTCTTGTCTGCAACCACCTCAACGGACTCTTGAGAAGCAGATCTCTGAAATCAGTGCGTACTGCCAGAAGCTCGGCCCTGTCTGAGATCTGGGTGATGGAGCTGAGCCTGAGGGTTGTGAGAGGGTAGCTCCTGGGTGATGAGATGTTTCAGGCTTGCTACATGGTATTTACACCATCCCACTAATCTGGGAACCAAGAGAATCCCTATTGTGGCTCAGAGCATTGAGGGGACTTGTTTTGGTCAAAGTATGGACACTAGCTGTGTAGTTGTGGTTATGGCTCGTATCTGTACAAGGAGCACTGCCTGCGCTTGTAAAATCATGCCTGGGAAGAGATGCGTTTGATCTGGGGCAAAGCCTGCAAGAGCACCAGGCTCAGCTAATTTCTTCTCTGCTGTTCTCTGTGTCCCGGCCAGGAATCTGAAGGGAACATCCCCAGACCACGATTTGTGTGTAGACTTAATGTAATCGCCCTGGCGTGGCTTGTCACCACTAGAAGTGATAACCAAATCTTGCGGGGAGGTGAGGAAGGTGTTGTCCCCGGGTGTTGTGCAGGGCAATAAAGAACAGCGACCTTTA